CTAGATTGTCACGGTAAGACCGTGACGTTGGCAATGTCGGGGTTGCCAAGGATCGAGTGGAGAAGTTCACTGGATTATGTTCCCAATAGGGTGATTTCATATTTGAAGGCCCAACGAATGGTTGGAAAGGGTGTCTGTCATATTATGCTTTTATGAGAGATATTGGTGCTGATACTCCTATTATTGATTTTGTTCCGGTAGTACAGGACTTTCCGAATGTGTTTCCTGCAGACCTGCTGGGCATGCCACCCGACAGTGATATTGATTTGGTATTGACCTGGTGCCGGGCACTCAACCCATTTTTATTCCTTCGTATCGCATGGCACTAGCAGAGTTGAAAGAATTGAAGGAGCAACTTCAGGAGCTTCTTGATAAGGGGTTTATTAGGCCTAGTGTGTCGCCTTGGGATGCACCGGTTCTGTTTGTGAAGAAGAAGAATGGTACTATGCGGATGTACATCGACTATAGGTAGCTGAACAAAGTTACAATCAAAAATAAGTATCATTTACCGCGCTTTGATGATTTATTTGACCAACTTCAGGGAGCGAGGGTGTTCTCTAAGATTGATTTGAGGTCTAGGTATCACCAGTTGAAGATTCGGGACTCGGATATTCTGAAGACGGCATTCAGGACCCGCTATGGTCACTATGAGTTCCTTGTGATGTCATTTGGGCTGACCAACGGCCAAGCAACATCCATGCATCTGATGAACAGTGTATTTCAGCCATATCTTCATTCACCCATCATAGTATTCATTGATGATATCCTGATGTACTCACATAGCCAGGATGAGCATGCCCAACATTTGAGGACTGTACTACAGAGGCTAAGGGAGGAGAAGCTTTATGCTAGAGTTTTCTCGGCTTGGCCGGATATTATCGTTGCTTTATTGAGGGTTTCTCGTTCATTGCAACGCCTTTGAACAGGTTGACCCAGAAGGGTACTCCATTTAGGTGGTCAGATGAGTGTGAGAAGAACTTTCAGAAGCTCAAGACTGCCTTGACCACAACTCCAGTCCTAGTTTTGCCTTCAACGTCAGGCTCTTATACAATGTATTGCGATGCTTCTTGGATTGGTATTGGGTGTCTTGATGCAGGAGGGTAGAATGATTGCTTATGATTTGCGCCAATTGAAGCCTCAAGAGAAGAGTTACCATGTTCATGATTTGGAGTTGGCAGCCATCGTTCATGCATTGAAGATTTGGAGGCATTATCTCTATGGTGTGTCATGTGAGGTATTTACGGATCATCGGAATCTCCAGCACTTGTTCAAACGAAAGGATCTAAATTTGAGGCAACAGAGATGGTTGGAGCTGCAAAAGGACTATGATATTACCATTTTGTATCATCCCTGAAAGGTCAATGTGGTGGCCGATGCCTTGAGTAGAAAGGTGGTGAGTATGGGTAGCCTTGCTTTCATTCCGATAGGTGAGAGACCTCTTGCATCAGATGTTTAGGCCCTGGCCAATCAGTTTGTGAGATTAGATATTTCGGAGCCCAGTCGGGTTCTAGCTTGTGTGGTTTCTCGATCTTCCTTATATGATCGCATCAGAGACCGTCAATATGATGATCCCTATTTGCTTATCCTTAAGGACACAGTTCAGCACGATGATGCCAAGGAGGTTACTATTGGGGACGATGGGGTTTTACAGATGTAGGGTCGGATTTGAATGCTCAATATAGATGGGCTACGTGAGTTGATTCTTGATGAGGCCCACAGTTCACAGTATTCCATTCATCCGGGTGCCGCAAAGATGTATCAGGACTTGAGGCAGTATTATTGGTGGAGGAGGATGAAGAAAAATATAGTGGGGTTTGTAGCTCGGTGCCTAAATTGTTAGCGTGTGAAGTATGAGCACCAGACACAAGGTGGATTACTTCAGAGGCTTGAGATTTTGGAGTGGAAATGAGCGCGTATCACCATGGATTTCGTAGTTGGGCTCCCACGGACTTCGAGGAAGTTTGATGCTATTTGGGTGATTGTGGAACGGTTGACCAAGTCCGCACATTTCATTCCAGTTGGGACTACTTATTCTTCAGAGCGGTTGGCTGAGATATACATCCGTGAGATTGTTCGCCTTCACGGTGTTCCGGTGTCTATCATTTCAAAATCGGGGCATGCAGTTTACATCGCAGTTTAGGAGAGCAGTGCAGCGAGAGTTGGGCACACGGGTTGAGTTGAGTACAACATTCCACCCTTAGACAGACAGACAGTTCGAGTGCACTATACAAATATTGGAGGATATGCTACACGTTTGTGTCATATATTTCGGGGGGTGGGGNTGTCTCCGTATGAGGCTTTGTGTGGGAGGCGGTGTCAGTCTCCGGTGGGTTGGTCTGAGCCGGGTGAGGCTAGGCTATTGGGTACTGACTTGGTTTAGGATGCTTTGGACAAGGTTAAGTTGATTCAGGATCGGCTTCGCACGGCGCAGTCTAGACAAAATAGCTACGCCGATCGGAAGGTTCATGATGTTGCTTATATGGTGGGGAATAGGTACTACTCAGAGATTCGCCCATGAAGGTGTTATGAGGTTTGGGAATAAAGGAAAGTTGAGCCCTCGATATATTGGCCCATTTGAGGTGCTTGAGAGGATTGGGGAGGTGGCTTATAGGCTTGCATTGACGCATAGTATATCGAGTGTTTATCCAGTGTTTCACATATTCATGCTCCAAAAGTATGTCGGCGATCCGTCTCATGTTTTGGATTTCAGCACAGTTTAGTTGGATGGTGATTGGACTTATGATGTGGAGCCGGTGGCCATTTTGGATCTGCAGGTTCGAAAATTGAGGTCAAAGAACATAGCTTCAGTAAAGGTGCAGTGGAGAGGTCAGCTAGTCGATGAGGCTACTTGGGAGACCGAGCGGGATATGCAGAGCAAATATCCACGCCTATTTGAGACTCCAGTTATGATTCTAGACTCGTTCAAGGACAAACGTTTGTTTAAGAGGGGAAGGATGTAACGACCGGGCCGGTCGTTTTGAGTGCTGCAACTCCGTTCCCCCATTTACTGCTTATTCTATGCTTAATTGTTGTTAAGTGACTTGCATGGGTAGTTGGTTTGGTCCTGGGGATGTTTCGGAATGAATTTGGACACTTAGTCCCAAGGTTGGAAGCCTAAATTGAAAGAGTTGACCGGATGTTGACTTATGTGTAAATGGCACCGGAATAGAGTTTTGACGGTTCTGATAGATCTGTAGTGTGATTTTGGACTTAGGAGTTTGTCCGTGATTTGGACTTTTTGAGTTGACTTTTGATTAAGAATTTAGCATTTTCATATGGAATTGATTCCGATAGCTTGTGGTATTGTATCGAGTTGTTTGTGGTCAGATTTGAGGCGTTCGGAGGCCAATTGCAAGGCAAAGGCTTACTAGCGGAGTGATTCAATTTGCTTGAGATAAGTATCATATTTAAACTCAGTTGAGACATTAGTTGCCTGAATTGTTGTGATAGTCACGTGCTATTGGGTGCGCACATGCGTGGGCATGTGCGGACACTAGGGTCATATATTCATGTTCCGGTTGTAGACAGACTCTTATAAGCCTAGAATTGACTGTTAAGCTTTAAGCTATGATATCTCACATGTTGTAACAGTTTATGTGATCTATTTGAGCCATGCTGAGGCTACTTAGAGATTTAACCCGAACGAACTTGATGAATGCTTTTCAGTGATGAAATTGTCGATTTGAACTACGATAGCATATTTTGCACATGCCTACACTTTAGCATGCCATTTATACCACTCCAGGAGTACGAGAATCTTATTTCATTCATCATATACATATATACTTGTTTAATTGCTTATGTATGATATGTTTGGACTGGAGGCCTGTGATGATGATGGGCGGATTATGTTATTGGCACGTAAGTTGCATGTGTATCACGTGAGTTATCCGTGCGGATCCATATATTGATATTATTGGCACGTGAGTTGTCCGTGCGGATCAATATATTGATATTATTGACATGTGAGTTGTTTGTGTCACACGTGAGTTGTCCGTGCAGATTCATATATTGATATTATAGGCACGTGAGTTGTCCGTGCAGATTCATATATTGATATTATAGGCACGTGAGTTGTCCGTGCAATACGTGAGTTATCCATGCAAATCCATATATTGATATTATTGACACGTGAGTTGTCCGTGTCGTACGTGAGTTGTTTGTGCAGGTTCTATTGTTAAAATATGAGTTGTCTGTGCAGCATGTGAAATTTGTATTTTTTTATATCATTTATCCGATTTCATTGTTTCCTTCCTCTACATGCCATGATATTGTCTAAGCAGGGCATTTGAGAATTTTTGCACAAGCACACATGTATATTCTTCTCACGAAATTTGATGCGTTGGTTTTAAATATTATTCTGTCTAGTTTAAGAAGGCAGAACCACACCGGAATAGCTAGTATCATCAATAATTTAAGCTTCTCTTACCTTGCCTTGTTTATTTACGATAATTATTGAGTTGGTTGTACTCACGCTATACTCTGCACCTCGTGTGCAGATCTAGGTACTTCCGGGCATGGTGGTTGTTGATCTTGGAGTTTTACCTGTTTGGAGATTATCGAGGTGGCTGCTTTGGCGTCCGCATACCTTGACTCTCCTTCTCTATATTCCAGATTTACCTATATTGTTCTACCTTCTTAGACAGTGTTTCAGACTATGTTATTGTATAAATGCTCTTGTACTCAGTGACACCCGGATTTTGAAAAAATTGTATTTGAGTCGCAATTGTTTATATCGACTATTTATGAGAATTATTACTGTTAAACTTGCTTCATATTATTTTTAATACAAAATACCTAGTTTTATTGTGAATGTCGGCTTGCCTAGTTCTGTGATAGGTGCCATCACGAAATGTCGAGTTTTAGATCGTGACAAGCCCTCATCTTAGCTATCCTTATCATGACCTTTACTCTAATTTCTTCTAGCATTGACACAATTGTCTTGTGTCTAGCTCCCAATATCCAGGCATTAAAACTTTCAGACATATTATTGTCTACACTGTCACATTTAGAGAATTCTTTGAAGTAGACTTTGCACCATCTTTCTTTATTGTATGAAATAAGATCTTCAACAATATTGTGACCCAATGTATTTAATTTATCTAGCCTTTTTTCAATTCGGCCTCAAATGTTGCTCTAGCACAACTCCAAAACTTCTCCCTTCTCTCAATTCCCCTCCATTTTTTGACCAGTTTGACAGAATATGTCTTGTACACATTCTGTGCTCACAAGCTAGAAATACTTCTTCAGCATCACTAACCAAACCTTGAAAAAGTAAAAGGAAATAATAAATAACAATAAAAATAGTAAAAAGCAATAAATAGTAGTATGGTATCATACCTTTTGCATGTCACTTATTATAGTGACCTCATTTCTATCTCTAAGCTGTAAGTCATCTTGCAATATCCTTATAAACCATATCCATATTTTCTTTTGTTCAATCCCAACAACGGGACATGCTATGGGCAACCGCAACTAATAATTGTCCTTTGAATATCTCCTTCAAGAAACAACCATCCAGTCCTATACACTTTCTACAACCCTCCATGAATCCCTTCTTCATAGCAGCAAAGCATATATATAAGCTTATAAACTCTTTCTTATAATCTTCTAAATTAGCTACCTTAACTACACATGTGCTACCAGGATTTATTTGTAGAAGCACATCTCTATAGTCATAAAGTCTACCAAACTCAGCAATATGATCTCCCGTGACTTTTTTCAAAATAAATTTTCTTGTTTTTAAATAAATAGCCTTACCCACATACACACCAAAGTCTTCCCGGACAAGATTTTTGTATTTCACACCCTTTAATGGTAGGTTGTGAAATAATTTTCTTTTTATAATGATTGGCTAGATATTTAGAATTGCAAAGAAAGTTAATATTGGTCTTATGGCATTTATGTCCTGACTGTGAAATTTGAACTCCTACCTTCCTTGGTAGCATATATCATCCATGGGAAACTATATTTGCACTCCACCCTAACTGTATGTGGCTCATTCTAATAATTGTCTAGTTGAACCCCTTTCTTTACAACATACTTTGTCAAATCCTCTCTAAACTCTTTCACATTTTTAAATACTTGATCAATCTCCCAAATAACTTTCTCATAAGAAGGGTCATATACTACCTTGTTACTCTTTCTCCTTGCCCTCAAGTTTTCTTCTGCTACTTCATCATCACTGACAGTTTCACCTTCAGATTCACTAGCAAAGCTGTCAGCCTCTGATGATTCATAATATGGCTCATCATCATCACCTCCCAATTTATCCTTCAGATTTTCTCTCTCTTTATCAATATCATCACAACCTTCATCTAGTCCAACCTCACCTAGAAACCCATCATGTCTTTCTTTCCTATTTTTTCTCCCTTTTTTTTTTCTTTTCTTTGTAAGCCTTCAGATCATGTTTCACAACCTTAAATTATTCATGAACATCACTTCCATAATCATCAAAAAGTTCAAATTCATCCTCAGTGCCTACATCTTCTTCAGAGGAAGTAATGGAATTGTTTAGATCTCCACTAGCAGAACCTTCTCTCTGAACATCACCACTGGCAGCATCTACTTCCTCTCTTATATTTTTTCCAACCCTTCCAAAAGTGTTTAGAGTAGAAGAAAATTCTAGATCTAGATCTATAGTTAGAGCTGGTGTAATTATCTGTGGATGTGGAATAAATAAAGGCTCAGATTCCCTGCTACCCCCGTTTATATTAGTTAATTGACTACCACCTCATTTTTTACCATTCACATGTTGGCCAACATGCCCCACATCCTCAAAATTAGAGTCATTGCAGATAAATATATCTATTGTGTCCCCATCATTCAACAATACTCTAAGGTCTAACAAATCCTTGTCTTTCTCTAGTTCTACCAATTTGCCACCCTTAGAAGGTGCAATATAAGTAGTTCCCAACTTAGTAACCCCAAAATCCTTTGCAATATCTACTAATTCAGGGATAGATAAGTGATCAAATCAATGTTGAAGGAATACTCAGTCCTACCTCCAACAAAAACTAGCCCTACTTCACTCACCAACATTACATTAATTTTTCATCTAAAATTAAAGTACTTAGAAGTCATGGGACAACCTACAACCATATACACAATTCATCAATATTTAACATCTAAAATTAATAATACAATATTGTAACATATTAAAGAAATGTTAGGTACAAATAAAATACAGAAAAAGATTCACTTTTACATAAAAATATTCCACCAACAGTGAGCTAAAATAAAATAGCAGAAAAGTTCTTGCAATACCTTTAAAATAACTAAAATAACATGAATAACATATGTCCAAACAACCATAAATATAAAAATAAAAAGCCCCTAATTTTTATAAGTTATTACAGAAAACCCTACACTCCGTGCATACACAAAATCACTGATTTTATACATAAAATTTTTAATTATGAAAGCTTTAACTCAAGAAAATAGAAGATTGAAAGCAAATCGATATTCATCTTTGTTATATATCACAAAACCCTAATCGAAAAGTAAAGCTTGAAATCCCTAACCTTTTGATTTTGTCTGTTTGAAATATTTGAAGAAGACCACCGAAAAAGCTTGACGACCGGAGAAGAAACCACAAACGATCAGAAATACACCACAATTGAAATCTTATTCTACTCTATTGGAAAAACAAATGACATACATTAAACCACAAAATCAGCAACATAGGTTCAACAACTCACCAAAAATCGATTATCAGATATTTAGAGACCGAAAACCCAAAATTTCTATATAAATCAAAGTGAAATTGGGAGAGGCATTTGAGAGATTTTTTGACAGAGTTCTACTAGAGAGAGAGAAAGAAAGATAACGGTTTAGAGAAAAACGAAATCTTTATGTTTTATTTCTAACGTTTTGCGTGCCTTTTACTTTTTCTTTATTTTTCCCTTTTTTTCTTTAGTAATTAGTATAAAAATTTGATATCCTTTTATTTGGCCTACGTGGAGTACAAATAAGCAAAACTGTCCAAATGTATCACGCGTGCATACACTTAACTACGCGTATGTGACCCGGGAATTTTTAAATTCAGTTATCTAGTGTAGGGGTAATTCGAACCCGAGATAGTTTGTGGAGAAAACTAATAATTCGCGATAAGTTTAGGGAGATTTTGAGGTATTTTTGCCGTGAGTTTAAATTGCAATGTTTTCTAATAGTATAATCCTACCAACGAGCAAATGGAATTTCTCCAAAAACGCGGACTTAGTTGTAATGTTAAACACACGAAAAGGTCAAATCCTCGAGATTTTCAATTATTACAAATATAATCTTCAAGTTATAGTAATTATAGAATCACCCCAAACCAATTTGAACATTAAATGCGTGTTCGTTACCCAACCTCTTAACCCGACAGAACCCGACCCATTTTACAAAAAAACCGCACGGCCTGCAATGCACAGTATTTGGAAATGACCGCTTATGCGTTTTTATGTATACTTTCATCAGCCCCCTTCCTCGCCATTTTTCCCCTCCAAAAACTTCCAAAGCTACGTGTCGATCTTCGAGAAGGTGCTAGGGTTTCATCACATCTTTGTAAATGAACAGCTTGCATTTGAACGGTGATCGCCGCTAATTATATCGGCGTTCGATTCCTGCCGCCGTGAAAGATCGCCGTCGATTCATCATCATGTTCGAAGCTCATGTAAACAACTCTCATTCTCACTTTATTTTCCTTTTCTATTTTTTTTGTGCGTTATGAATTATTCAATGTTTGTACTATATTTTATGTTCGATAACTGCATTTGTTTTTTAGAGTTACAGGTTCTTCATTAATTAAAATTTGAAACTCGTGAGGTGAATTAGTTTCGACCTATTTTCTGAGTAATGTATTCGAAGTAGTGGACTTTTTTTGATGCCAGTTACTGAACTACTATTTTTATAGCTGTTGTGTTATATGCTACTTTAATTTAACTACTTTGAGAAGTCAAGTAACAGTACTTATTTGATTCACTGGAAAAGGAACTATATGCTGTTAATGAAATTGAAAATATGGACTGTGTTTGGTCTACCTAGGATCAAGTGGGGAGCTTTGACTAAAGACAGAGCACAAGAGTTGGGGATAGGTTGATGGCTATGCGATCATGGAGGAGTAGCGGGGACGCGAGTGGTATGTAGACCGCGACTGCGAATTGCATTAGGGAGGATGCTAGAGAGATATTAGGGGTCTCGAAGTGCTCCTCTGGTGGCCGCAAAGGGGATTGGTGGTGGAGTACTGAGGTTCAAGGCAAAGTAGAAGCCAAGAAAGCGGCATATCTGAAGCTTCAGGAGAGCGTGGATGAGGAGGTGAAGAGGACGAATAGGGAGCGATATAAGATGACTAAGAAGGAAGCAAAATTAGCAATTACTGCGGCCAAGACGGCCGCATTTGAACGCTTATATGAAGAACCTGGAGGCAAAGGAGGGGATAAGAAGTTGTACATGCTAGACAAGGTGCGAGAAAGTAAGGCCCGTAACCTGGACCAAGTGAAGTGCATCAAGGACGAGGAAGACATAGTTTTGTTGGATGAGGCACTTATTCGACGAATATGGCAGACTTAATTCTATAAACTCCTGAATGAAGAGGTGGATAGGAGCATTGAGCTAGGTGACTTAGAACACTCAGAGAGTCGTCGGGACTTTGGGTATTGTAGGCGTATAAGAGTCGAAGAGGTTGAGGGGGCTATGCATAAGATGAGCAGGGGAGAGCGACCGGTCCAGACGAGATCTCGGTGGAATTTTGGAAGAGCGTGGGTAGGGCGGGCTTGGAGTGGCTCATTGGATTATTTAATGTCATTTTTAGGACGAAAAAGATGCCCCAAGAATGGAGATGGAGTACGATGGTCCTGCTGTATAAGAACAAGGGTGATATCCAAAGTTGCAATAACTACCTGGGCATCAAGTTACCAAGCCATACTATGAAAGTTTGGGAGAGGGTGGTGGAGCTAAGGTTGAGGAGGATTGTGACTATTTCTGAAAATCAGTTCAGATTTATGCAGGGATGATCGAATACAGAAGCTATTCACCTTGTTAGGAGGTTGATGGAGCAGTATAGGGAGAGGAAGAGGGATTTACATATGGTGTTCATCGACTTAGAGAAGGCTTATGGTAGAGAGTTAGGACAGGTAGCCGAGCCTTGTCGGTAACTGTAGCTTTAGTAGGTGATTTAGTGTTATTTGTGTATTCTCGTATCCCTTGACTTTTGTGATTACTTGTTATTGCTTTCGTGTCGGCTTTCTGATTGCAGTACCTAGTGTATTTAGTTTTGTATTTTTGCTTCAGTTTTCTAATTGGTATGCTTGTTGTTGTTGTCCTTCCTTTTACCTATCCTAAGCCGATGGTCTTCCGGAAAAAGCCTCTCTGCCTTCTTGAAGGTAGGGGTAATGTCTGCGTACACACTACCCTCCCCAGACCCCACTTGTGGGATTACACTGGTTTTTTTTTTGTTGTTATCATAATCACTAAGTTTTTAAAGGCTTGCACGCCCAGATTTGTTGCTAATAATTGGCATATCTAAATACAATGTGCCCTCGTCGCACTCAAATCCTGGGTCCGCCTCTGCTTGAGAGTGATAAACCTTCATTTATTTTCAAGAGAGAAATAGGTGGAAACTTTTCATGTGACCGCACTTCTTCAACGTTCTTAGATTTGTGAGTATAATAACAACACCTTAACATGGCAAAAATAGTTGTAGCTGTTTTTTATGGCTATAAGACATTTGAGAAATGGCTGGTGTTTTTCTTTGAGACTACAACATGAGAGAAATGAACCTTCATTTATTGAAAGAGCAATAGATAATTAAACAATGAGAACCATAAGCACCAAACAATTTATGAGAAATAATGTTTTTTAGTAAATCGTATTTGACAGAATTAAGGAAAAGGTACGAGAAGCAATTTATTCATGTCATGTTTTGTTGCTGTTACTTCTTTTTCCTCCTTTTTATATATATATATNCTATTTCCTATATGGTTTTTAAATCTCCGATTCAATTACTTTATTCACGTTATACTAGCTGCAAGCTGAAGTGTTGGTGATTTTTTTTCTCTAATGAGTAATTAGTGTATTGATTTGACAAGAAAAATGCAGTCTAAAAGGTAGGTGATTCTAATTTCCATGTTACAAGTGTACCATTTTATAATATTGCAAATTTTAGGATCCTTGTTGCGCTCTATCGAAATGCGTGGTGTCCTTCCTTTTTTTTTTAATAAATAAATTCACCTTCATTTGTCATAAAAAAAGGGGGCTTGGCGTCCTAAAGTTGTGCTGGTATCCCCTGTTACAATCTAATTTCACCTTCATTTGTCAAAAACAAAAAGAGGCTTGGCGTCCTAAATTCATGCTGGTGTCCCCTGTTACTAACTTTAGATTCTTTTATAGGTGATGTGGTTCTCAAGGACTTGAAACTGAAGGCAGAGGCTTTGAATTCCTTGAAATTACCAGTTACTGTCAAAGCTGGTTTTGTTGGAACCATAACTCTTAAGGTATTCTGATATTTGATTTGTTTTCAGTTACCTTTTGGCCATTTTCTAGCAAGTCAATCATCCTTTTTTTTTACAAATTATTTACTTTATGTCTTTATGATTTTCGTGGTTTGTAGTTCTCATGCAGTGCTTCTTATAGGTTCTATTCAAAGGTGCTTTACTTGTTATACCTAGTGTAGCTACTCAAGCATAAACTTGTCACAATTTTACTCTAATTGTGATTATATTGATTTGTTGTCATTACAGTAATGTTGTGCTTACTAAGGTCCTTATTTTGTGCCTGCTTTGAGCGGTTTTCAATTGTTTTGGTCAATACAAAATTCCATGGAAATATTAGCATATGTCGAGGTATTAGAACAAAGAATTACTTTATACCATTTTGATATGTAAAAAAAATGAACCTCTAGCTCATGGGGTAAGGATTACCCAAGATCATATAAGGAAAATAATAACCTATTCCTTCCTCCAATTTGAGACATTTAACACTGCTTCGGCAAGCTCACACCTGGTCGTCAGAGCGTGGATAACATAACATGGAACATTGGCTAACCAATGGGTATGGTTTTGATACCATGTTAAGAAACTAGATCTTGAGCCAAACTCAACCCGAAAAGCTATCTCATGTGGTGAGGAATGACCAAAACCACATAAGAGGATAACAACCCATTTCCAAACCAATGTGGAACATGTAACACGATATATCAAAAAGTTGGTATATATAAATATATATTTTTGATAAATTAAGGTAAAAAGTTGGTATATCTTTTTGCTTTTTTTGTTGTTTTATCCTTCTGATAAGTTAACAGTATTCTATATAAGCGGGAACGATGCCTGCTTTTAGTTGTGCAACTTGCCAACACCTGCGGATCACGTTGCCGTGCATTGAGCTTCAATAGTTTTACCTACCAATGAGTTTCCTTCCTTTCCCGTTATCTTTTTATCAAAGGACATTCTTGTCTCTTTTGGCCTAGAGACGGATGCAATGTATCGGCGCCAGGTTCAACTGTAATTTTGACGCGGAGCATAAATGTATATGTAAAAATTCACTAATGAGTTTCCTTCCTTTCACTAATGAGTAATTTCCCCCTTTTATTACCTTCTTTACCTACTAATGAGTTTCCTTCCTTTCCCTTTATCTTTTTATCAAAGGACATTCTTTGTCTCTTTTGGCCCATATTTTCCCCTTTTATTACCTTCTTTATCCTTGGGTTTCAAGTAAAATAAAACAACCTTTGAGTCTGATGCTTCAGGTACAATGTACAGGGTAAATTTTGCAGAAGTTTCTTTTTGCCCTATTTTGATCTGTTTTTACAATATTTGCCCTCAAATAATCCTCTAATCAAGCCATCATTTATATTTGCTCGAATCTGTTATTGCTAGTATCCAAAATAGTAATAGATGCTTACTTCATTAAAGTTAGTGCACACTTTAAAGAAGCATAAATGAGTTTTTGAATTCATGTGGAGAAATAGTCTCTTCGGAAATGGATGCATGAATTTTGCAACAAAAATTATTTTGTATAAACTATTATACTATCTTTCTGAAATTTGAGATAAAGGAGACAAAACGTGGTTGGTAATAAGACTACCTTACTATATTCTCCGGGCTTTGTTTTTCACTCCACATTATTTGTACTTCATACACTTATATATTTGAAGTAAATTATTTTTTATCCCAAGAATTTAATTTCTAATTCAAATAATTAATTGGGAAGTGCAATAGCTTTTACTATTCAGAGTGAAGGTACTCTTTGAATCAACAACAACAACAACAACCCAGTAAAATCCCACAAGTGGGGTGTGTACGCAGATCTTACCCCTTAGCCGTATGAGGTAAGAAATTCTCAAGTACTGTTCTAAGGGAAGGAATTGAACTACCTATCTCTCGTTCACCATCGAACACCAGCTCGTCTGGAAAGAGCCCTATCTCCTTAGGCGTTAATTTCCTTCGAAAAAGAGAATCGATCATCTTCGCCTTCAAATAGGGATTGAGAGGCTTTCCCCTACCCAACCTGAATTCTAAGGGTAATCGATGTGAACCATAGGGTTTAGAAGCAGCCGCTTTCAGTCGTTCCCAACGTTTAGATTGAGTAGACATCAAAGGGGAGAGAAGACGATAGCCTGCACCAGCTAAGCGTTGTAGAACAGACATTGAAATGCTGNACTTTCAGAGTAGAGAGACTGTTTCCAATAGACCCTCGACTCAAGAAGACAAAAAGAGACAATAGATCAGTAACAACAACAGAGGCCAGAAAGATAATACCAACATCGTAAGAACCAGAAAATAGATGAAAAAAGCAATAACAATAACCAATAACAATGGCAAGGTACTATGAAAACGGAAAAATAGTATGAACACAACATGAACCACTAGCAGTCTAAGACAAAACTTTATCAGACTAGCCTCACACCCACCCAGTACAAAGTAGAAGGTACTCTTTGAATCATGTGAGATTATTAACTAAGGTATAGTTGTCACAATCCTGTTATCATCTTCAAAATTTCTTTTTTCGTAGATGATCAGCGTAATAAAGCTCTTTTAAGTCACCTAAGTAACTAAAGCCCACAAAATACCGAGTTCCCGTCGCATGGGCAATCATGAAACTTGCTTGTAATCCATCACAAACTATTTTAATTAAATAAAACATGGATGCTCTTAAAAAGCCAAATCAAACACTGTCAACCCTTTTTCTTTTGTAATTAACATGTTGGCACGGGCCATCCCTCATCTAGTATCTGTAATTTACACCAAGATTGTATCCAAAACATTTAGAAATTAGGTGCGCATATTTTTTGCTTGTATAGCTCTCCCTTTTTTCCTTGACTGTTCTATGCCATGTTTTTGCTTTCTAATATCACTTCTCTGTTTGAATATAGGTTCCTTGGAAAAGTCTTGGCAAGGAGCCTGTTATTGTTCTTATTGATAGAGTCTTCATTTTAGCTCATCCTATTGTTGATGGAAGGTCTCTTAAGGTAGCAAGTACACAACATCTGTTGATTCGATCGCAATGATATATTGCAACTTTATTATTTGAAATCTCTAATGTTCAGAAAGCATATTTAAGTAGTGCAGAAAATTAATTTATGTTTTCATTTTGTTCTCATTAGGAAGAAGACCGAGAAAAACTTTTCGAGGCAAAACTTCAACAAATAGAGGTGAACACTCATTTTATCCAATTTACTTCGTCAAATGCTTTTGATTATTGTCAAAGACTCCTATTAAGTTGGACTTCTTCTCTTAAATATATATTGTTTGACCTATTACTAACATGTTTATTCTTCATTCTGCTAATACTGGTCAAATAGAAACCATTCTCTTGATTACTGAAGCAATGGGATGATTTAACTTGAATGGTGGCTATGCTAGGTGTCACTACTGTTGTAGTGATGGGATGCTGTTGTTCATAAAATTCTGAATGCATGTTCACCCTCCTCCTTAGGAAGGCACACCTGTGTTTCTATGGGAATAACCCCCATCCCTGACTTCATCCCTATCCCTCTGAAGAAAATCTCTTATTAGCTGTTTGGTCTTATTTGCTACTATTAAGAATTAGGTAATTGTTGACATGGCGAGAGGCCATTCCTTGTAAATATGGGAGATGTTTAGAGTCCTTATAACTGTGTAATTAGGTATAGGAAGTACTATCATTTCCTTTTTAGGATTACTTATAATTTAAACACCAACATACTTGAGGGAATAATTGAACAATTCATTTCCAACATCTCTTCTTTTTTCATACTTTACTTACTAGAGTAAAAGATGAAGTGGAGACTGGAGAGTTAAAGTGGAACTGCAAGTTTGTATTTATTCCCGCAGAAAAAAGAACAAAAAGAGTGACAAGGTTGCATGAGAATAGTTGCCTCCCAAGGGAGATAAGGAAACCCTTCCAAGTGGCATCTTTTGGAATTCTGAAGATTTTTTTTTGATGAAGTAAAAAAAAAAAACCAATAAATCAATTTATCTAGGAGGCATGGTGAGGTTATTCTCTCATCAACGTGATGCTCACTAGGTCTCTTTAACTGTACCAATCGCTACTTCTTCACTTAGATTCCACTAGCTTGGGTGATCGCAGGAAAATTGTGATGGATTGTCTTTGCACCCATGGCTTCTTTAAATTTTAATGTGAACGCTTTTTGACACTTCAAGCTCTTGTGCGGTGTTGGATGTGTACAAAAGCTTTCAGATTTCAAATGTTGTTTTGTAAAGTAGCTTGATCGTTTTCTGCTGATTGGATAAGATGGGAGCACTATAGGATGATAAGGGCATAGAATTGTAATGTAATGAGGATAGAAGAACTATCTGGAATGACGAATCTAACGTTGATTGAATCAATTGTTGCTGTATTCATTTGGATGCTGGATTGGATCACTTGCAGTTGTATATTCAAATCCTTAGAAAGCAAACTGGCATCGTATATTTGGGCCCAAAACTGTCTAAAAGTTCTGAGACTTTTCAAGGAATATCATGGGAATGGAAAATAACAGATGAGAAATTCTTCGATACAAATTAGTGCAAGTTCACAGATTTTTATTTTTTTTTTGATCAGTGAGTTCACATATTTATTATGATTGGATCAAACCGATATATAAGTGAGAACTGAGTAGTTGGATTGTAAGGCGAACTATGTGACTAAGCATTCTTTTAATTAAGAACAAATGATTGAACATAGGAAAGGAAATTGCCTTCCATGTTTAGTTGTTATATGATAGGAATCAGAATGGTTCAGTGCAATTCCCTTTGATATTCTTGTTTTACGCTGAATACTTGGCGATATGGATACTTTTGATGGACAGAAAATTTTATATGGTGTTTTCCCGGTATAGCTTTTCGTCAGAGGTTCTACTTTTTGCCCTTGAAATTTTATTTACCTACCCCGCCTCCCCCTCCCAACAAAATAAAAAAGGTTGCTTTGTAATGTCTGCTGTGCGTTTAAGATCCACTTTAACTTCCTAAGTTTCTTTCTGAATAGCACCTTTCTAAAAACTAATTCTTGAATAGTTTTTTCTTACATTGATGCTTTATTTCTTTTCCCTTGTAATGTGACGATGCAGGAAGCAGAATCAGCCACCCTTGAGGCATTATCAAGATCAAAGTTGGGAAGTGTATGTTTTAAACTCTGCCTATTATTTACAAATTGAAATGATTTTTGATTGGTTGATACTCATGTTTCACTCCTCCCATTTCTCTTTTTTCAATTTACTTTGGATAATTTCTTCTACTATCAAAGACAATGCAATAATATCTTTCTAAATAACATCTGTTGGACGCTAATTGTGTCTAGGTGTATCTCCGTTTCATAAATGGATGTCACTTGATCATCATATGTTTGTGCTAGTAATGCGTCCTGTGGTGTTTCTTAAAACTTTTTATTAGTATCTTCGGATGTAATATTTGGCCTTTTTTGAAGTTCGTTTCCTCCTTGAATAAAGTAATATACTATTCAAAAAGTAATCTGTTATTGCTTGTAAAAGATAGAGAAATTGGAGCAATCTCCTTGTGCATTATTCCAAGAAGTAACACGTATATAGCCCTAACTATAGAAAGAATAAAAAAAAGGAGATCCTATAAATCTGCTGTGAATCCTTATAATTCTGCTAGCTATGCACATTACATAAAAGTATGTCTACATTCATTCTGTAGTATGCCTACATTCATTCTATAACACTCTCCCTCAAGTTGGAGCATAGATGTTGATCATGCCCAACCTGTTCCGAAGGTAATCAATTCGAATTCCATTCGGCGCATTTGTGAATTAATCAGCTGGTTGCTCTCCCGTCTTCACGTAGCCAGTGGATATCAAGTTCTCCTGAATCTTCTCACGAATAAAATTGTAGTCAACCTCAATATGCTTCGTTCTTTCATGATACACCGGATTTGACCCAATATGCAACTTGATTGTCACTCCAGAGTCTTGCTGGTATTTGTCTATTGGATGCTCCAACCTAATTTCAGTCAAAAGATGATGGATCCACATAATCTCACACATAGACTGTGACATAGCTCTGTACTCAAATTTTGCCCTGGATCGAGATATAACACTTTGCTTCTTACTTCTCTATGATACCAAGTTCTCTTCAACAAAGACACAATAGCCTGTAGTAGATCTTTTTTTCAATTTTGGATCCGGCCCACTCAGCATATGCAAAACACTCAATACGAGTTTGGTCGTGATTACTATATAATATGCCAAGTCCAGGAGCTCCTTTCAATTAACATAAAATCTGTTCCAAAGTTGACCAATGTTTGACCGTTGGTGCGAACATGAACTGGCTAACAACACTTACCGCAAAAGCAATATCTTGATGAGTCACAGTGAGGTAGTTTAATTTTCCAACTAACCTCCTGGATCCTTATGGATCATCAAAAGGATGGCCATCATCTTTCATAAGATGCACATCAGGAATCATTGGAGTACTACAGGGTTTAGTTGCCAACTTTCTAGTTTTTGCAAGCAAGTCAAGAGTATACTTTCTCTGAGATAAAAAAGTTTCCTTCTGGCTTCTATTTACTTCTACTCCCAAAAAGTATTTCAACATGCCCAAGTCCTTTGTATGAAACCTAGTGTGCAGGAAAGACTTGAGGGATGAAATACTTTTTGGGAGTAGAAGTAAATAGAAGCCAGAAGGAAACTTTTTTATCTCAGAGAAAGTATACTCTTGACTTGCTTGCAGAAACTAGAAAGTTGGCAACTAAACCCTGCAGTACTCCAATGAAACCTAGTGTGCAGGAAAGACTTGAGGGATGAAATCCCCCGCATAGTCACTTCCTGTGATAAGAATGTCATCAACATATACTACAAGAACAGTAGTTCCAGTTGCTGATAGAAGAATGAATGATCACACTTGCTCATTTTCAGCCCAAACTACTAAACTACCTCGTTAAACTTGCCAAACCAAGCTCGAGGACTTTGCTTCAAGCCATACAAGGACTTCTTCAAATGACAGACTTTCTCATACTCCCCCTGAGAAACGAAATCGGGTGCTTGCTCATATACACTTCCTCCTGAAGATCACCACGAAGGAACGCATTCTTGATATCCAACTGATGTAAAGGCCAACTCTCAAAAGCAGCTACAGAAATAAATAGGCAAACATAAGTGAGTTTGGCAACTGGGGAGTAGGTGTCGAAATAATCCACCTCATATGTTTGAGCATACCCTTTAGCCACAAGTCAGACTTTAAGTCATTGCCACGGAACCATGTGAATTAACTTTAACCGTAAAGACCCACTTATATCCAACCGACTTCTTTCCCTTGGGTAAACCCACCAAATCCCACGTGTGGTTATCCTCCAAGCCATGTATTTTCTCAAGCATTGCATCAGACCATCCTGGATGATTCAAAGCTTCCTTCAATGTTTTAGGTACCGAGATGGAGTCTAGAGAAACAATTATAGTTCTAGATGTAAAGGATAAACGGTCATAGGAAACAAAATTAATATGTGAATTTGCAAGTACGTGTACCTTTGCAAAGAGCAATAAGAAGGTCAAGGTTTTCTTGTGGATCAGGCGGAGGAGAATCTGATGACGCAGGAACTGTTGCAGGACATGTATCATTTGTCTCTCGCCCCCATGAGTAAACTTGAACAATTGGCGGTCTTGCTAACACAGTTGGAGCAGGTGCTGAAGGCTTAATAGTTGATTTGGTGCTCAATAGAAGAACTAGGAGATGGAGGAACATTTGGTTGTTCTGTCAAAGCACGGGTAACCTGATATACTAGCCACTCATCTTCCTCCCCCTCCCTTGGACTATAAAAATAGGAGGTGCATAGAAGAATGGTGTAGTCTCTGAAAATACTACATCAGTTGACACTAGATATTTGCCAAGTTTAGTAGAATAACATTGAAACCCCTTCTGAAGGCGAGAATAGCCCGGAAAAACACACTTCAATGCCTTGGGATCCAACTTGGTAACAAATGGTCGAACATCTCGAACATAACATGTGCATCCAAACACCTTAGGTTCCATCGGAAATAATGATTTGTTTGGGAAAAGAACACTGTAAGGTACATTACCACCAAGCACAATAGATGACATGCGATTAATCATAAAACAAGCTGTAGAGACTGCATCAGCCCAGAACTGTTTAGGAACCTTCATTTGGAGCAAAAGTGTCCGAGCTGTCACAACTCACAAGTAGATCTTCCTCTCAACAACTCCATTTTGAGAGGGTGTGTCAACACATGAAAACTGATGTAGTATACCATGTTTTCTCATGTAGAACCGAAATAACTCTGACATGTATTCTTTAGCGTTATCACTCCTTAAAATACGCACCGAAGCAGTGAATTGAGTTTTGACTTCAGCATAGAAGACAGAAAAGTGAATAAACACATCAAGGATGTAGAGATCACTTGATAAATATCCTTTATCAATAATCTTGTTCGTTGTAAGATCTAAAAACAAAAAATGGTCGGAAAAAAGGCGATACAAAATGAAGGTCTCTGGTGATTTTACTGACGGAAATCAGATTAAAGGCCAAGTTTGGTAGACTTAATACAAATGACAGGGTAATAGAGGAAATTGGTTTAACAGTCCCAGATCCAACACTGTTACAAGTTGATCCATCACCTACAGTAACAGGAGAAGTTGCTTTGTGTGACCGAAAACTAGAAAAAATATTTGGATTACATGTCATGTGATTTGTAGCACTTGAATCAATCACCAATTTAGTTGAAAAGGTGACAAGACATGTTTTATCTGACTCTGCAAAATCAGCAACCGAAGAAGGGAATTTTAGAAACTCATCCGAAATCAAGATTGTTGGACTAGAAGACGTAGCCATAAGTCCACAAAATCAGTAAACAAAAGGGAACTTCAACAAACTGACTACAACTAGAACTTTACACAAATAAAGTTACCCCACGTGTTACGGAAGCAGAAGTTTACCCAATAAATTAGAGAATAAGTGAGAATCAAACAAAATAGATTTCCAACTGATATAATCGAAAAGTTCCATCAAGAATTTGCTCAACTAGAACACTCAAAGTATCAAAATAATGGAACAGGAACCAGTAAAATTCCACTAAAAAGATACCCCAACAAATCTCCAAAAGATCAAGTAACATAGTCTCTCTTCTAACCCAATCGCTAAAATGATCTTCACAAAATAAAGCTCAACAAGCCAAAGATTTAACGAGGAGAATTTTACCAAGAATATGGAGTCCTTAGATAATATTCAGACACCAAATCAGCAAGTGGAAAGTAAAAAAGAAGAAGATAATTTTGACCAAAGAAAACAAAATTGACAAAACCTGGAATGCTTTGAAATCTACCCAACCGACGTCTGATGAAAAAGAGACCACAAAATTCTGACCGGAAATATCGAAGTCTACATTAGAAATGAAACCCCGAACTGATTCCCTCGTACCAGACCTGGTCTATGACCTCCGACGAACTTTTTGAACCAACGCCGGCGAATCAAATGTCTCTGCTCTGATACCATGTAAAATATAGAGAAATTGGAGTAATCTCCTTGTCTATTATTCCAAGAAGTAACAAGTATATATACTAGTACATAGAGCCCTAACTATTGAAAGAATTAAAAAAAAGGAGATCCTATAAATCTGTTGTGAATCCCTATAATTCTGCTAGCTATGTACATTACATAAAAGTATGTCTACAATCATTCTTAACATTGCTAAAAAGGGAAAATCCTGTATTAGGAGGTAAACAAGAGGGCCCAAGCTTTCCCTATCTTTCAGTTTAGATTTCTAGAATGCTGAGAAAGGTATGTTTGTTCTGCTGTTAACATGAATAACTGTTAAGGGGCAATCTTAACTTCTGAAAATTTGAGGAGTATGACTAAAGCATATATCAGCATTCAACTGGTGCTTTATGTGCAAATGGTTCGGAGATGATGTAAACCATTTACCAGTGCGTTGTCAGATTGCAAGCCAGTTGTGGTGAATAGTACTGTACTGACCATGTTTGGAATACAACAGACAACACTGGGTACAATGAAGGATGTGATGTATAGCTTGTCCTTTAAAGGGAAACAAAAGGAGATGTAGAGCGTATAAAGTAGCTTCCTTGGCGCTTGTTGATACTTTGGAGGGACTATGGAGCATGAGAGCATTTGCTACTTTGTGGTGCATGTCACGCTGTATCATTAAAAGTGGAGTCTTAAGTATTCAAACACTCAAGGTGGTGGTTTAACAGTCAATGCAGTCGGAATGGACTACGGGAGACCTAGGTTCAAATCTCAATAGAGGCAAAAAAATCATCTGCTTAAATCTTGGTAGATAGAGTTATCCGTTGCCTGTGCTGGTAGATGCAAATTATCTGATTATGCCTGGCAAAATTCTGAATATTTTCTGGCATCTAATGCTCAGTATGTTTGGTATTTACTGCTTAATGCCCTCATCATCGAACAGCTTTTGTGGTGCTGGAAACTGAAATGAAGGAGAGATTAGCAAGCCATGATTTCCTCAAGCAGTTATGTTGAAAGGTTCAAGAGTGGGGGCCGGAGCGAAGGAAATCAAAGGGTTTTGACCTTTTCCTTGTTTATGTGTCATAGTGATTCTTTGAGCACCACCTTGGTTGCTTCTCTAATCTCTAGTATGATAGTTAGCATCTTTAAATGAATGTGGTAGGCATAAAGAACATAAAAATAGCATTTCTGTCCTCTCTTTCGGACTAATTATTTGAATTTGTATCCAACTGTAGTATCTGATCAATTGCTTTGTAATATTTACTCACATTGGCAAGCTCTTTACCTTTGTTTGTTATTCGCTGCTTGCAGTCTTGAGTTGCCTGGAAAATTAATGTCACCCTTTTCATTTACAGCCACCTGCTGGAAATTCTTGGCTTGGATCATTAATTGCGACTATAATTGGAAATCTCAAGATTTCAATTAGCAATGTCCATGTCAGATATGAGGATTCTGTCAGGTTTGTTCGTGTCAGTTATTGATGTCTTTCTAACCTGAGCTGAGTTTCCCTATTTCGTTGATTGTATTATATCTCGATTATTTAGTTTTTTAACTGTGATCTTTGATTTATGGCTTCTCACTTAGGTTGCTTTGTTTTTCTTTCTTTTGCATATAATGGGCGGCCACAAATTTAGCAATCCTGGGCATCCATTTTCTTGTGGGGTTACTCTTGCAAAGCTTGCAGCAGTTACGATGGATGAACAAGGGAATGAAACATTCGATACAAGTGGCGCTTTGGATAAATTGCGTAAGGTAAGTTGTTCTCTTTTTCATGCGAAAGATTTTCAAGAAAATTGACTCTGTCCCAAATTGTGACAATCTGTCTTCAAGGTCAGAGTGAAACAAAGCACTTGTATCTATAATCTATAATTGGCTTTGTTGTGCATGACCATTCTAATGTTGTGTCTTGTTTGGGATATTGTTATTCCTTTTCCCGCTCTACAGTGAGGTAGATTACATAATGCCATTAAGAGAGTAGCGAGAGTTTTTTCATAGATTGTCTGCAATTACTTATTCAGATACAAGATTAGATTTAGTTCAATTATATTTGCATGTAAGCCCGACATTTGGCGAAATGAAGAAGACTAAGAGATCTTTCAGAGAAGTGACAATATTGCCGTCAATCGGAATCAGTTAGTAGGAGATAAATTTTTTTGAGTGTGCCTAGGAATGACGTGGATCTAAGAATGGATTTTTTGAGGCTTAATCTAGTGGGTTGATTCTGTAATTGGACCTGTTGATGCAATGGGAAGTGAGCTGCAAACTCATGAAGAGTGACATACGAAACTAAGGTTCGAAGTTTGGTGATTTCTGGGATACTTAAATACTTGTATGCCACCGATTCTGCATATCTAACTCCAGCTTTCTGTGTATTGCTAAATTTATTTAATTGGTCAAAGTAAAGGTAGATTTTTCTTTCTTCTATTTGAACTGGCACACCTTTCTCTCCTTGGTTAATGAGTCCATAATGTTCTTCTGGCTGATTAACATCCTCTTAATTCGTTTCTAGTGTTCGATAGCATGCTTAATTGGTCTTGTATAGCATGTTTGCTGAAGCTGTATTCCGGATAAACTTCACGATCTGGTTATAGTTTTTCTGAGTTGCGGGTGTTTGAGGCTGTGAGTCCCTTCCATGATATTCTGTTGATTGATCTTGAGTGAGATTGCGAAGTCCTGTCTCACAAATATGGGGTTTTTCAGCGTGGTTGGCTTGTTTTTTTGCTTATTCACTGAAGCTTCAATTTCACTTACAAATAGGGAAAAAAAAGATATATATATATATATATATATATATATATATATNGCAGACATTAGAATTCCTTAGTATGCTTCATGATTACTTTTCTTGGAGCATGCTACATGCCACAAGTGGTTGGATTTCCTGGTTTTCAACTGTAAATGTGTTTTTAGTTTTGCAAAGAATAACGACCATGATTGCTGAACTGGGTGCATTTTTCTTCGTTTATAGTTGGTGCAACTTGAAAGGCTTGCCATGTACCATGATTCAAACAGCAAGCCATGGAAGTTGGACAAGAAATGGGAGGATCTTACTCCAAAAGAATGGATTGAGGTACATTATTATTTTGTCTCTTACTTTCTGTTGTCCTATGACTGTGGTTAGAAAATATGCCTCTGATTTACATGTTCATGTTAGCCATTGGATAGGATTCATGTCCACTCCCATGATATTCTCTCTTTATTCCTTTCTAATCTCTTCTCGTTGCTCAGGTATTTGAAGATGGTATTAATGAACCTTCAAATAACAGTAGAAACTTATCTGGATGGGCTGAATATCGCAACTACTTGGTGTCACCAATTAACGGAGTCCTCAAGTATCATCGTCTGGGAAATCAAGAAAGAAATGATCCTAATGTTCCCTTTGAGATGGCTTCTCTGATCATCAGTGATGTATCGTTGACCGTCAATGAGGTGCTAGTCTTTCACCTTGTTTTGTTGCTAAATCTTTCTAAATAATTTGTGATAATTGTTCTGTTTTAAGAAATGCCAAATGAAATACAATCCATGAAAAATCAAAGCACTTGGACGCCGCACTTGCATCATACAGTGCCCTAGCGCCTTTACTTTGTTTTAAAGCACCTATTTATTTCCTTTGTATCTTAAAACACAGTGCTCTCGAGTTTCTTTATTCGCGTTCCTATTCTCTGTCCTCTTCAATCCTTATCTGTTACAATCGATTTATTACAATTTCCTAAGTCTTTATCCTAAAGCTGGCATAAGATTCTTCCTCTGAATCCCTAGTAATTGCTTTAATTGCCCCTGACAGGAATAAACAAGTTGGCTTGGAGAGATTGCTTTTCATTTTCTTGTTTTACTTCTCTTTTACTCTCTTGTTTATAAAACGTACTGTTTCTATGAAGAAAGGTCTGGGGTTTCTACCTATGACCTTTTTCAAATTGCTACTGAAAACTGTGTGACTTGATCCCATCAAATTCATCCCTTTACTTTCCTGGTGTACTCGAGAAACTTCATAGTTGTGTCCTGACTTTAAGTTCTTTAACGTTCATCCCTTAAAGTTCTTTCTTTTTGTACACTTTCTTTGGTTTGCTTTGGTGAAACAGGGGATCTCCACTACTTTCCCAACATCTAATGGAAGGGGAAAGAAATAGAAAGTAACTTTTATTGTTCAGTTGTTGTCTGCTAGCAATGATTTGAGTTCTTATAATGTCAACCATAACAGGTTCAATATCATGATTGGATAAGACTTATGGAGGTCATTACAAGATATAAGACATACATTGAAGTTTCTCATTTGAGACCAATGGTGCCCGTTTCAGAGGATGTCAGTAGTTGGTGGCGGTATGCCGCTCGTGCAGGATTGCAGCAGAGGAAAATGTGGTAAGTGTTTGGTGTTCTCAAATGATATTTTTGAGAAAAGGGTAACTATTATAAATGTTGCACGAATTGTGCTTGAAATCATTACGGAATGATCCAGTTTCACATGAAATCAGCATGAGTGTGTCTAGTAGAGATTCTGCATCATTAATCAATTCCTCTTTACACCAAAAAGAAGACAAAAGTATACAGTTGTCTTATATCTCTGCATAGAGCTAAGCATCTTGCATTTCTCTCTTTCCAAATAGTCCACCATGCAACGGCGAGGATATTTCTCCACCATTTCTGTTCTTCTTTTGGCATGTCTGTTCTATGCCAACTTCTCATCTAATCAGTTGTATCTTTAGGCATTGTCCATTTACTATCCAGCATATTCAGAAATAAATTCCATAATTGTGAAACAATAGGATATGCAAGAACAAATGGTTAATGATTTCTGGATTTGTTCCACAAAGATGGCACCTGTTACAGAGTTGAACACCTTTTTTTTTGGAGGTTATCCTGTGTCTCAGAACAAGCCACTTTAAGTTGTGACTTTGATCTCCATATGTTCTTCCAAGGACATGAGTTAGCATTCTGTGGTTCAGCATCTAAAAACCTGTAATAAGAGTGAACAGAAAAGGATCCAGATGCGTAGCTGGTGATCGTAAATGATTTAAACATCTTTTCTTTTGGTGTTTCAGCCTGGATTGGGGCTTTGTGAAGTGTGGGTGGAAATGTATCTTGTAAAGTAAAAATCTAGGTGATAACAAAAAGGACAATGTAGTTAATCTAAAGCACAAATGTATATTTTTGCTTAATTTTTGGTGCAACATAACCTCGGCAAATGTTTTAGAGCCGGAGGCGTTGGCTGAATTTCTTAGCTCTTTACCCTCACTCTAAAGTTATCTTTTAGATGTACTTCTATCCAACTTTTTCTTAAAGTTGGCCCCCTCTTTACATCAATAAAATTCTTTCACTTACCTATCAGAAAACAACAACAACAACAACAACAACAACCCAGTGTAATCCCACAAGTGAGGTATGGGGAGGGTAGGATGTACGCAGCCTTACCCCTACCCTGGAAGGGTAGAGAGACTGTTTCCGATAGACCCTCGGCTAAAGAAAGGATGGAAGAAGCACCTATAGCAAGTAATATCAATACAAGGTATTTAAAAAATAAAACCCAAGAAAGCAAAAGAGTTTGAAAGAAGCACTAATAGTCCGTAATAACAGTACACGATATGAAATGATAACAAACTAAGGGCGTATGGAAGGCAAGTAACAACACAAAATATGTGGTAATAGCAAACTAAGAATAAAAGGGATACCAACTAACACTAATACTATTGAACTAAGGAAGACAGAGAAATGCTCGACTACCTACTAACCTTCTACCCTAATTTTCAACCTCCACACCCTCCTATCAAGGGTCATGTCCTCGGTTAGTTCCAGTTGTGCCATGTCCCGCCTAATCACCTCTCCCCAAGACTTCTTTGGCCTACCTCTACCCTTCCTCTTACCCCCAAGGCCAATCTCTCACATCTGCTGACTGGGGCATCTGTGCTTCTCCTTTTAACATGCCCGAACCATCTTAGCCTCGCTTCTCGCATCTTTTCCTTCACGGGGGCCACTCCCACCTTGTCCCGAATAACTTCATTCCTAATTCTATCTAACTTAGTATGCCCACACATCCATCTCAACATCCTCATCTCAGCTACTTTCATCTGCTGGACATGGGAGTTCTTGACTGGCCATCGCTCTGCCCCATATAACATAGTCGGTCTAACCATTACCTTGTAGAACTTACATTTAAGTCTCAAAGGCACATTCTTATCACACAAGACATCCGAAGCGAGCCTCTACTTCATCCAATGGAAAAGGCATAAGTACACCCCTAGAGTGTTATATATGACGAGATAAATAGATGGCTATTATACAGATTTTTGTGCCCCTTCCCGTGATGATTGACGTAACGCTTATGGCAAATGCAACATACAAAGGAAAAGAGATAGTGGAAGAATTATGAAAGGCACCAGAGACGACTATGGGGAGGGGGAGAATATAAATGTTTTAAATGTAAATGGTAAATAGGAAAGGTTGAAATACGTTGACCCTATATACATTTATATACTGAATGCTTTTGACACCATCTTGATTGTATCTAATTATCATTCAATGAAAGGATAACACAAAGAAATGCTTTTGACACCATCTTTGCTAAGATTTTGCCGTCTTTAAGTGAATTATGTTGATCTGTTGGATATATTGTTCATGTTTCGTTCACAAAAAAAAATTGTTTGGTTGTGCCCTTTTGCAGCTATAGATTCTCCTGGGACCAAATTCAAGCCCTATGTNTGGGGATGGGTGGGTTTCAGATTAAGGTTTTATTGATAGCAACAGAATGTAAATCCCCTTATGCGTGTACACTGTCATAACACAACTTTACGTAAAAGCATAATATCTCAAAAGAGAGCCACTAGCCATTTACATAAGTTTTAATTACGTACATGCTACAAATTGTACGAAAACATGAAGTACGCAATGTTGCACGAAAGAGCTCTGTCACTTTGGAAGCAGTTTATTTCCTTCTTGATGTCTGCATAGGTGACAGTGATATTATAGTCCATGCTCGTTCTCTTCTTTTCATGATCTCGTTTCTCAGTTAAAGCTTGTATATACATTTCAGGTCGGTGTGTCCTATGTTTAAGTTGCTATGCAAATCAAACTATTAAAGTCAGCTATCATTTCTTTGCGTTATCCTTGAGATTGAGGTTTAAAGAGCTGTGCTTGTGGTATTTGGTTGATAGAAAGGTGATTTCTGATTGGAGAGAGTTGCATGTCTTTTCCTAGAGTTGCAAATCTCCATTCTTATCCTAGAGTTGCATATCGAGATCTCAAAGTTGATTCTTTTTCAGATATATTGTTAAATTGCTGTCAAACATAAAAGAAACTTGCATATTTATGCTAAAGGAGTTTCTTACAATGGAATTTTGGTGTCAATGGTGATATCCCATTCCAAATTATTGGTTTTTGATGTACAACCCTAAGATCAGTTCTCTCCTTCCTGAATCCTTTGCCTTCTTTCAGACCTCTTCTTTTCACCACATTGTTATATCCTTGAATGCTCTGAAACTTCATGTTGTTTCTTGATCGTATTCACTTCAATTAATGATGACATTTTTTTTATTTGGTGGACTGTCTTCTAGGTTTCTTGCTCATGCAAAAGTTGAATCTTTGAAATCAAAGGAGGCAGCTGAACAAAGGATGCTTAAAAAAAGAAGCTGGTTTTCTTTTAGATGGTTTGTCATAAACTATCCATTGATCTGTCACAAACAATTTTATATTTTATCTTTTATTTTTCTGAAATTCCTTATTTGTTGCTCTTATCTTAGCTATCTTTGTCACATTTTAGATTTTGTCCTTTTTTTCCTTGTTACCTTAGGAGTACAGCTACTGCAGATGTGTCTGCAGGGGATACTTCTGAAGAAGCTAATACACTGGAGGACCAATTGACCCGGGAGGAATGGCAGGCAATCAATAAACTACTAAGTTACCAGCCAGATGAGGAACTGGTGCTGCAGTATGGAAAAGAGAATATGATCCAGTATTTGTTAAATGTTTCTATCAGTAGAGCAGCTGCACGGATAATTGATATACATCACACAGAGATTGTTTGCGGTAGATTTGAAAATCTTTGTGTGTCTACAAAATTAAAGCATCGGAACTCCCACTGCGACGTGACCCTCAAATTTTATGGATTGTCTGCTCCTGAGGGTTCACTTGCCCAGGTGTGTGCTTATTTTGAGTGTCATCTTTCTGAATGGTCATAATCAACTTTATCTGTGAAACTAAATTACAGTGCATAAGGTGTCTCTGTATAGCCTTTTCGTTTAAGACGTGATATAATTAGAATATTTCAGTTGATAATATCTGGAGATAGTTGCTATTCAAGTTCCTTTTCTGTTCCTCTTTCGTGGATTTTTCTCTTTATTATTATTTTTAATGTCAGATGATCCTATAATTGGTGTTACGAAGTTTTGTAAAAAGAAGTTAACCTTTTGCATATAGAATCATGTTTTTTTTTTGGTAATGGTGATATCTGGCGCACTCCTTGATTACTCCACCGATTACCTACTATCTTCGACCAGCACATGTATTGGGTAACATTGTCCACTAAGGCTTGGACAAATAGGAAGAATTCATATATTGTCTTTGTCGCTGCTGGGATCTGAACCATGGTCTCCCATGATCTGTGCCAGCTTGAGCGGTAGGCCATACTTGGGTGCTAGAATCATGGCTTGACTGAGCATGAATCTGCATGTTTGCATTTTTCTATGGTGTGTGTTTTTGTTATAGCTTTCATGTTTGATCTGAAACGGTTTAGGGTTAGTCTCTTGGTTGAAATATTAGCATGGAATATATTTTTGTTCTTGATTATGCATTTTCTTGTTTTAGGTATTCAGTTAGGCATATTGGAAAAGGAGAAATAGATTATCAGTTCGATTGAAATGAAATTCATTTCTTTTCATTTCCTAAATCCGTGAACCCCAGATGAGTTGCTTTCATCTGTGTTTGTGCTGTAAACTTAACTATCATTAGTCGTTGCGTTGTGCCCATCTAAGCACACCCGAACCTGAATACAGTGGAATGAATATAGACGATCCATATAGCTGACACCAACTAATTCTGAATGGATACGTAACTGTTGATATATTTGTTTTTTGCTATACATTTGGGCATAGTTGACTGATTAGGCGAAGTATTTCTGTGCAGAGTGTCATTAGCGAGCAGAAGGTGAATGCTCTACAAGCTAGTTTCATACAAGCACCTTCTGGGGAAAATGTCGACTGGCGTCTATCTGCAAGAATCTCGTCTTGTGATGTTACAGTATGTGGTTATGATTTCCTTTCCTGCCTGTTTGTCCAGATCATCAGATGCATGTGAAAGTATATGTTTGTTACTTTGTTTAGTATTCACTTTATCAAGAAATTTTGCAAGTTGACTGATTTTGAACTGTTGGCGTATATGACCCTGTTTCTTTTGTAGTCCATTCCAAAAAGAATGTCCCTTTTTCTAAATTTGAAAATAATTTACTTAAACTTCCCCATTTTACCCTTAATGACAAGGCGCCACACAAATATTATGGCATGTTTAAGCCCACACAAATATTATGGCATGTTTAAGCCCACAAATTTCAAAAGTCTTCGTTTCATTCTTAAACTCCGTGCCCAATCAAATAGGAACACATAAATCGAAACGAAGGGAGTATTGTTAAGTTCAATATATTTAAACTTTTGAGATTTCATTCCCAAAGTTTAATTAATAAATGTGGTTTCAGAATTTAGGGTTCCTTTTTATATGTCCCCCTAGAATTGCAGGATACTAATGATGGTAAAGGTTAAGTGGTTTTAGTTGGATTGTTTTTTGTGACTTGTGATCAGGATTTCGTTTGATTGGATGTGAGTTAAAGGAGCATGAATGTTGTAGGATTCCTGCTTGGGTTGTTTTTCTATAACATACTATATAATTCAGAAGCTTGACGGTATTCCTCTTAATGAAGCCCAGTGCACAAGCCATCCCGCGTTCACGCAGGGTCTGGGGAAGGGCTGCACCCCAAGGGGTGTGATGTAGACTGCCTAACCTAATGCAAGCATTAGTGGCTGCTTCCACGGCTCGAACCCGTGATCTATAGGTCACACGGAGACAACTTTACTGTTGCTCCAAGGCTCCCCTTCTCTTAATGAACTCTCAGTGTCTAGAAAAAGAAGAATGGATAAGGATGTAGATGTGGATGCCCGCCCCTCCTCGCTTTTATTAGTATTTTATTGTTTGTTTTACTTGTCGTTGGGGGCAGCAGGGACTTATTATTGTTTGGCAGCCCAATTGAGACCTTTCTTAGCCACTATATTGTTTCATCTTTTGTTGGACATGGTCCATTATTTGACAGTATTGGCCTCCTTTAATGCGCTTTAGTCCATCTTATCTTTTTCTATAAACTAAGTAACAACAACATATCCAGTAATATCCCATACCGTGGGGTCTGGGGAGGGTAGTGTGTATGCAGACCTTACCCCTACCTTGTGAAGATAGAGAAGTTGTTTCCAATAGACCCTCGGCTTAGTAAAGCATAAGCACCACATTAATGAAAAACTAAGTAGTTTTATTAATAATAAAGTGAAATTCCCACATACAAGATGTTCTACATTATACACCTAATTTGGGAATGTAGTAAATGATTAACATCCTCTTATCCCCATGCACATGAAATACCGACTAGTGTATATATCTTTTTCTTTTCTCAAGTTCTCCAGCTTTATGGTAGCTTCACAAGCTGTTGGCCATGCAAAGAAGCCGTTTTGGTTGGTGGTGTTGGAGTCAGCACTGAGATGTAAGAGATGTATGTCACCTCCCTTCATAGTAATCTCGGATCATTCAGATCAATCTTTGTCCCTGTCATCTTGAATTATAGTTGTTCATGATTGAGATTCTTTACTTGTTGAGGAACCCAAGAAGCTGTGAAATTCTTCCATCTCTCAAACCTGCAAATTTCTTCAGAATTTTGAAGTCCCGCAGAGTTCCTCCTTCCTGCTCCCTGCATATGACAGGGAATGCATTGCATAAGGAGGCATCTCCACATAACCTCTGTCTCCAAAGGCTGACTCTAGTGTCATCTCCCACTTTAAACTAGACATGTCTGTAAAAAGTAGCCCACATCTTAATGAAGCTTCTCCACAAGGCTACCCCATATGGTCCAGGTATTTGAAAGTTTCCTTCAACCTCTCTGATATACCCCAAACATGTCGATGGTGACCATTCTCCATAAAGCCTTGTTTGTCCTCCAACCCAAATCTCCAAATCCATTTGTTCACCAGGGCTCTATTGAAAACCTTAATATCTATGACCCGCAAGCCCTTTATGGGTAATTTTGCCGCATCCAGTTTATGAGATGGTATTTCTTCACCTCCTCTTTTATCCCACAGAGGATCTCCATTTTTCTTCCACATTAGTAGGTAGCATTAATAGCATAAGGAGTTGGTAAAGATGCTGGATATTGTACTCTTCATAATATTTCTTTCCCCCCTTTAGATAAATCTCTTTTATCATTCTGCTAGTTTTTCCTATACCCTTTCAATTGCTGGTTTCTGTACTGCAGAATCTTTAAGGGTCTTGGCCAACTCTTATTCTAAGTAAGTTGTAGGAAGTAATCCTAATTACACCTGTGGATCTCAATGATCTGTTCTATGTTCTCCACCTTGTATGTTGTATAATCTCATGCTTCTTTAAAGTCAAAACCGTAGTAGCATGTATCTCAATTACTGAATCTGAACCACCTTGGCATTACATTGGGCTAGTTTCTTCATTTTATACGGAACGTCTTTCTGAAAATTGATACTATTGATGTTTATATTGTAAACCTCGTGAAGCTATGGCTCTTAAGTCGTTATGCAAGTGATGAAGGAATCTTAACATATTAAAAGACAGAGATGGATCTTGTGTATTCTTTGGATATGGTTGGTATTAGCCTTTAGGTGCTTTTTCTTTTGAGTTTACCTTGATTTATTAATAAGTATTGTTTGGGAAGGAAAAAAGGAATTTTAGTTTTGCAATAGTAATAGCGTGGCCGAAGTGGAGCCTTAGCGTAACTTGTAAAGTTGCTGCCATGTGACCAAGAGGTCACGGGTTTGAGCTGTGGAAACAACCTCTTGCAGAAATGCAGGATAAGGCTGCGTACAATAGACCTTTGTGGTCCGACCCTTCCCCGGACCCTGCATATAGCGGGAGTTTAGTGCACCGGCTGCCCTTTAATAGTAATAGCGTGGCCGATGGAGCAGATAGTGTGCTTGAACGAACAGTATACGATGAATCCCTTTGTCTCATTCGTTAAACTGAGTTTTTCCCCGTCATCTCCAGATTTAGATAGGTATATTAATATCATTGAAAATGCCCTCAATCAGAACATTATGAAAGTTGACTTGGAAGGACAGTCTTACATGTCTGTTTTGAAATGTTTTTATATTGATCCGAATGATGGATTTCTGTTCCCTGAAATTTAATGCACTCATAACTACAAAAATCTACTAGCTATCTAAGTAGTCCAGATATAGGGTTGTGTCGGGTACATATGCATACATGAAGTTTAGGGGGACAGGAAATTTCTTAAGTTAGGGGTACTTGATGTTATTTGGGCACAACATTATACTTGATGCATGTAATTTATTTTATGTGAACCTATAAAATACCCTTACAAAATAATAGTAACTGCTTATGTTGCTCGGATCCTTCAAAATCCTTGCCGCACCCGTGTTAATCAGATATTTGAGTGTGGGTGTGGGATCCACACATGATTTGGTCAATTTACCTTGGGTTCTTTGACTACACCTTTGGCCAAGAAGTATAGGTTGATTAGATATTTGGTCTGATTTTAAGATTTGTCACATATTATATTTATATTAAGTGTGAGAAGGCTTTGCGATCACATGAGATATCTTAGGAATAAAATACTAAGTGCTTAGAATTTCATTATATTACTTTTGGCTCAATAACTTCAATTAATTATTGAAATATACTTATATATGTCGTAATAAATTTGTAGGTTTTCTACCTTTTGGTATTCTTTTTGTACGCGTGCATGCTCTTTTGCGCAAACATTAATATTTTTTTTTACTTCAATCAAAATATAACTTATATACGTCTTATTATACATTTATTGGTCGTATCTCAATGCCCCTACCTTACTCCTATCAGTATCCCCGGATCCTAATATTTAGGTGATGACCTATCTGACTTCTAGATCCCCACCCGTATCCGAGCGGTGTCAGGAGAGCACCGACATTTAGGTTCTTTTCTTCTTCAAATGGGATTCGTCTTCTTCTCCAATTAGGATTCTTATCAGATCTGATATAGAAGGAACGGTTATGGTTAATTCTGTTTTCTCTATCATCATTGAGTTAAGGTCAATTTCTAATGTTCGTGGCCTCATGGTTTTTTTTAAAGCTTTTATTTTAGTTACACTAGGACTCCTATATACTTGTCAAAATTATTTCGTCCTATTTGTTATGCCTTTCCTTTCCAGAATAGGAGAGTTGTGCTCAGTTAAGGGACATACTTGTCCCAAGAAAAATAAACTGCACCCAGTATAATAATTATGTATTGGATTCCATGTCTAATTCACAATTTTGCATAGGCAATTGTGCCGGTTCTCATGTCAAGATTGTTTCTGGCTCTTTGATTTGTGTTTTTGGTATTGCATCTGAATATCAAACAAATCTGAAATCACTTTATCTTTCAAAATTACTTGACAGGTTTTCAGGGAAACCTATGACCGGTTTTTAGAATTTATGAAAAGGAGCAATGCTGTTAGCCCTACTGTAGCATTAGAAACTGCAACTGTTTTACAGGTGATTTTTTTTGAATATCCTGAATATCATTTTTACTGCCATATAAATGTAGCATTTCGTTAATGAAGCTAATGTTGCTAATGCAGAATAAAATTGAAAAGATGACTCGCAGAGCGCAGGAGCAATTTCAAATGGTACTCGAGAAGCAAAGCAGGTTGCTTAATTTGCTTTTTGATTTTGCCATTATTTCCTCACTCTAACATAAAGAAATCTGGTGCCTGATACATGAGGGCTATGCATTATTCTTTTTTGGCATTTAACATTCTGAGTGATAGGGTTAAAAGCATATCTGATATCATATATGTTTCCTGGCAAAAGTAGTTGGAAGCTTAAGCCTTCCTATGATGTCAGTTGTCTGAAACTCTGAATAACTTTGTGCGCTTTGGATCCAGCCTTATGGTTATGAATTGAAGAAGTTCGGGTAACTTATTTAGTGTTGTTTGTTTTCTTTATTTGATTTTGCCTTGATTGATGAGAAAATTTAGAACAACTAGCAATATTAGATGGAGTGAATGTTGGGTTTCTGAGGCTCAACAAATCCAATAGATGAAATTGTGTATGTTAATATTTTCTGCGGTTGTACGAGAGTTGACAAATCTAATGTTCACATGATAGGTGATAGGGGAAATATATAGGGATTGGAAGGGGGTTGGATAACTAAAAATGTCACCATACCCTATGGATGCGGTTTGTTGAAGAATATTATGAAGGAATGAGAAACATTTAGCGCCAATGTGTCATTCAGGGTAGGAGATGGGAGGAGCATATGTTGTTGGGGGCATAGGTGGTGTGAGGATAACATTTTGAGGTTTACTTTCTCAAACATCTACAGTATTTCTTGTTAGAAGAAGTTGTCAGTCCAATGAGTCCGGAGACTACAAGATGGAGAAGCTTTTTGGGACTTGAGGTTTAGGAGGAACTTCCAAGATTGGGAGTTGACAGTTTCAATGCCTAATTGATTTGCTTCAAAAACAAAGCTCTGTACAGTCTTATTACAGAGAGCTTCTGACTGGGGAGGAGGTTGCCTTCTCATATAGTTCGATTTGGGTCTCTAAAGTACTGAGAAAGGTTACTTATGTTAGTTGGTGCTTTATGCACAAGGGTTCAGGTGAAGACGTCGACCATCTCCTAGTACACTTTCTGGTAGCTTTTAGATTATGGTGGGAAATCATGAATGGTCTGGTATACTTTGGGTGATGCCAGGCACTCTGCAAGAGGTATTGTTTAGTTGGAATGGCTGTAGAGGAAGGAGAATACGTAGGGCGTGGAGTGTTGCTCCATTAGCACTCATGTGGGTGGTTTGGAGAGAAAGAAATAGAAGGGCTTTTGAGGGGGTGGAGATGAATTTTGTACAATTGAGGAGGAGTAGCCTCTTATCCCTCATCTCTTTTTGGTTCACCCATGAAGTTCCTGTTTATACAGAAGATCGGGTGGTGTTCGTAGAAAATCATTTCTTATTGTAGGTTTTCTACTTTTTGATATACTCCTTGTATACGAGCTATTTCTTTGCCCTATTTAAATAAATTTCATTACCTTACCAAAAAAAATATCCCCATGAAAGTTCTCCGTTTAACCATGTTCTACTTGACCTTCGCGTGTACTGGTCCATAGGTGTGACCAAAATGATGATTTAAGGGGATGACAATTGACGCAAAGACCTAAAGTCACATCGAGGAATGTTGTCTCCTACGACCTAAAATATCTCTGTACTAATGTGAACTTAGTTAAGAACAGGATAAATAGAAGCAAAGGATTCTGATATCAACTCGTTGTGCTTTGTTGTTATTTTTATGACACTTCCATTAGGTCCATTTGTGTTAGGAACATGTTTATGTTGAAGACTTATATATCCGTGTAGGGATAATTGAGATTAGAGAATCCCTATTTTGGAGAATCCTTAGTTTGTATTAAAAGACAACTTATTTAGGGACATTAGGTTCACATACTAGTTATGCAGAAGATTATAGTGCAGTGATAGTAAATGGTATAGATGGTGAATTATAGTAAAGCATTGTTATAAGGTGAATAGTATTTCAGGGATTGTTATTTGCTGAATTATGATATGCAGAATGTTATGCAGGGATTACTTTAAGAACTTTTTTGTCTTTGAATACTTTAATCTTTGTAATTGCTAGTATGCGTATTCTTATTCAACCTTCTATCTTGCATAACATAATCCTCAGCTTCCCATATTACTTAATACAAGTATTAATTAATTCCACCAACTAAATGTTGCATTAGTTATACAGTGATTATATTTTCTGATAGGCAAATCAACCTCTGTATTAGTTATGTGGGGATTATGTTCCCTAATCCCTCCAACAGAGCATTGTATATTTTATGTTGTTTTTCCCCCTTAATCTCTTGAACCAAACAAACCCCTTAGTATCATAATTAAATGGACCTCAATTTAGCGGAATAAACAGAGGATGTGGCAGATACCAATTGATTTGAGAGATTTAGGCACTGTTGATTGAGTTAAAATCTCAAGTAGGTGCTAGGCTTCAGCATTTGTGGAATTCAAAGAATATCTGCAGCTCTTGTGTGCATAATGAGTTTGATGAAAACTATATGCAAGAGATCACTACATAGTGGAGCTAGGGGAAAATTACAGTAACACGTGATCAAAAAGATGTTTGTCTTTTCCATAAGTAGGAAATAACATTTCATTTAGGCTCCTTGTTGACCAAATAGTTGGAGGTCATTATAAAACCAAAAATTCCTTTTTGGGTTCACTACACTAACCTTACTCCTAGATTAGAATCTTGATAAATAAAACGAAAAACTTTTCTTCTAGTCGAACATAGACATACCATTGAATTAGTTGGGAAATTTTAGGCAGTGCCGTTCTTTATCCCCATTCTCCACTTTCTCTTTGTTTCCTTCTTCCTCTTTACTTTTACTATCTCATTCTTTTACTTATTTTATTATTATTGAAAGGCCACCATTGGCTGGACCGGTGGAGGGTTTGGGCATCTATTTCTTTTACTTGATCAAATAAAATAACTGTTCTGCCTGATTATATGTAAAGATTTTAGATTCTTAAATATCAGAAATGCTAGAGTTTCTGAAATGTACTTTATGTATTAGGAAAAGAATTGAAAGAGAGTATTGGAAATATCTCTTGGAATATTTGAACAACTTAACATTTAATTTAAAAAAAAAAAAACTATTTTCCTAAATCTTGTACTAGTTGAGAATAGGTTTTAGACGGTTAGAGAACATCTAATATTATTTTTATTATTGTTATTATTATTATTATTATTATTATTATTATTATTATTGTATGTATATATATATATATATATATATATATANCTAGCTTCGACCAACCGAGAGGATTCCTATAAGTTTTAAGATTGATCCTGCACACTCTAGCCATTCAGGTCTATGGCCATTGAGAGCGTTTTCCCACATTGACTTGCTTTGTCTTGCTTAACAGTTCGGAATTTTTCTCCAAAAAAAATATAAATATATTTATGTGTATATATGTATATCGTTTTCACTTTTATTTTGTTTTGGTATGATGCTGATATGAGTGAGCTTAAAGAAAGAAGTGATGATTCATATAGCCAATCCCGACTCGTTTGGGATTGGAGGCATATTACTTGTTATTCTAAGTTCCACAACTTTGACTAGTTTATTCTTTTCGTGGTATTTGTTTTCTTCTTTTTGATATTTTAAATAATTTACCATATTTTGAAGCAACTTTTGCACTTCTGAGTTCTGATTAACATGTAACTGAAAGTAAAAGACAAGGGAGGATAGCCTAGTGGAAGGAACGCTCTACCTCTAGCCATGAAATTTGGTGGCTTGGTGTCACCAAGGGACCAAAATGGTAAAAGCTGTTCTTTGACTCCTGGGTAGAAGAGTTTGGGAAGTTTTCTTTTTAATATTAAAAGAAGAGAAGTAGCAGAGAGTAGAAAATAAGAAGATATCAAAGGCAGAGTTGAAGGCGGAGACTAAAAGAATCTTAGGGAAAACCTGCCGAACTAATTCGATTCTTTTTTCCTATTTAACCCCATTACTAACTAGCACTAGGAATTCTGAAGGTTCTTCCATGGTGTATTCAACTAGAAATGATGTTTTTCTTGGTAACTAACTAGAAATGATGTTGACGGGAGAGGTCCGTAAAATTATGGTGGGAGAGAGTAGAAAATAAGAAGATATCAAAGGCAGAGTTGAAGGCGGAGACTAAAAGAATCTTAGGGAAAACCTGCCGAACTAATTCGATTCTTTTTTCCTATTTAACCCTATTACTAACTAGCACTAGGAATTCTGAAGGTTCTTCCATGGTGTATTCAATTAGAAATGATGTTTTTCTTGGTAACTAACTAGAAATGATGTTGACGGGAGAGGTCCTTAAAATTATGGTGGGAGGTCATGTTGTTTCCCTTCTATAGTTGACTTTCACAATTTAATAGGACTTATCAAATGTTAAGCCTTAATTCGCTAAGTTGCATACTCTTTCATGAATACAATTGTGAAGAAAATCTTTAAATTTGAAGGAATGAGCATTCATCTAGTTGGCCGTACATTCACGATAGTGCGAATAATCAGAGTACTGAACTCTCAAGAAATCCCCCTTTCTTCGTATGAAGCTGTCATTCTAAAATCTTAGGAGGCTTGTGTTGCAGTTCTGGATCTATGACAGTTTAAAAGCAAGTTGCCGCTACAATTTTTTTATTTGGTTTAACCTGACAAGTGACTGATCCACAAAATAGTTATCACAATCAGATATAATTTGGTTATTCCTTGAGGTGTAATATACAAGAACCTTAAAAGTGATCAGTCATCAAACACCCATCTTTAATCAGCCGTTTTGTTTGTTTGTTTGTTGATGAAGTAAGATATTATATTATCAAAGCATCAAGAAGATGCATAGTTACAAAAGTTGAGATGCAAAAATAAAAGAAAAACTAGTCCCTTTACAGTATGTCAAACTAAGACAAGGGAACTAACAAAGTCCAAAAGATGATCAAAACTAATTACAGTAGCTATCTTAGTCCAACAAAAAAGATAGAGTAGGCATCTAGCTTTGAGAGACTGATTTGGAGTTGAGATCCCATCAAAGCATCTACTATTCCTTTCATTCCACAAACACCAAAAAATAACTGTAGGGATCATCAACCGGATCTTCTTGATGGTCTTGTCAACTCTCCATCGACTCCAGCTCAGGTGTGCCTGTTTTATGTTTTGTGGCATAACCTATTTGAGGCCAAAAATACAGTAAAACATGTTCCAAAGGTCAGTGGGCAATGCAAAAACAGATGGCTGACTGTTTCCATATTCTCCCTGCACATATAACATCTATTGACCAGCTGAAGGCCTCTCCTATTGAGATTGTCTTGTGTCAGGCAAGCTTCATGGAGAGCAATCCAGTCAAAGCAAATTACTTTAATAGGCAGCTTAGTTTTCCATATTAATTTCCAAGGCCATGCATCAATCACTTGGTTTTGAGAACATAGCTGCCTGTAACATTCTTTCACTGAGAAAGTGCCCTTACTCCCCCAACAAATGGTGTCTGGTGTACTTGCATTCATGTTGAACCTTTCCACTCTGGCAAGCAATTCTATCAAGTTGTCCACTTCCCAATCTTGCACTTCTCTTCTGAGATGAACATAGTTATTGCCACTTCTGTTCTGAGCTATGGAGGAGTCTTTATCGAATGCAATCTGGAACATGCTAGGGTATTCATCCATGAGTGTAATGTTGTTGAGCCATTTGTTTTTCCAGAATCTGATATGTGCTCCATTGCCTGCTTTGAAGTAGGATTACTGATTTTCTTGATGTACTTCCAAGGGCCCACTCCATAAGGTGCATTGGAGATTTTGGTGCTCCAACTGTCTCTTTTCCCATGCTTTGCAATAATCACCTCCTTCCATAGACTTGAATCTCCTGTGCCATATCTCCAAAGCCATTTCATTAGTAAACACTTGTTCTGGACCTCTAAATCTCTGATACCCAATCCTCCCTGGTGCTTTGGTTGTGTGACTTTATCCCACTTAATAAGATGAAACCTGTGAGTGCTGCTGTTCCCTTCCCATAAAAAGTCCCTCCTGATCTTATCTAATTGTTTTAACACCTTTTTAGGAATAGGAAACAGTGACATGTAATAAGTTGGGATGCTGTCAAGTACACTATTGATAAGAGTTAGTCTTCCTCCCATGGAGAGGTATTGCAATTGCCATGATGCTAACCTCTTGCTGCTAGTAGCTTGGCCACAATCTTATAGACACTGCCAATCAGATTTATTAGTCTGTAGTCTCTAAGTTCAATAGCCCCTTTCTTTTTTGGAATCAAGTCAATAAAGGAGGCATTACATGATCTCACCATATAGCATTGCTGATGAAAGTGATTAAGTGCCCCAATCACTTCTAGCTTGATAAATTTCCATATTTTTTGAAAGAAAGCCATAGTGAAACCATCTGGCCCTGGAGCCTTATCTGAGGAACATGAATTAATGGTTTCATGCGCTTCTTCTTCATCAAAATCTTTCTCCAACATCTCCCTATCCTCTTTTGCAAGTCTAGCTACTTCATCAAATTTGGCAGTAGGTCTCCTCACTTCATTTTCTGATACAGATTCTGGTAGTAGGTCAAGATCTCCTCTTTAATCTGTGTTTTGTCTTCTGTTATTTCATCATTCATTTTGAGCTTGTCAATATTGTTGAATCTTCTGTGTGAGTTGGCTATGGAATGGAAATACTTAGTGTTCCTGTCCCCCTCTTTCAACCATTGACATCCTGACTTTTAATCAGCCGTTTCTCATTCACTTTCCATTTTCTAGACCAAGTCACCCTATTGACAAAGAAAATGTACAATTGAAGAAGTTTTACGTGGTTTCCAAAGCATGCTTCCATGAAAGTGAAATAATTCTCTATTCATTTATGCGGATTGTGAACTCAAGTCTTGCAACATAGAGCTCTTTAAATACTCTCTATGTGAATATTCAACTGGGCCTCTAAACTGCATTGGCAACTAGTGAGCCTCTCTTCTGTTTAGATCTTTTACTAGTTCAAAAGCAAGTTACAAAAATGCATAATAGAAGAGACGTGTGACTGGTGTCTGTAAAAGCGAAAAGTGCAACAAGCTGACAATGTCCATGGATCTTGAAGCAAAAAGAGAAGTGAAACTCACAAGTTAGGATAAATGCGTGATCATGCCAGTTGGTGAGGTGGAGAATATTGAGGTCATACCACATGTGTTAAAGTGCAATGCTGGGGCTCTTCTTACGGCCTATCTTGGTTTACCACTAGGAGGATCTGGACTAAGCAACTTGGAACCTTGTGATAGATAGGGTAGCAAAGAGCCCCCACATATTTCATGTCATCGTTACATGCTACGGTCATCATCACATGGAAGTGTCACTTCGTAAATTGGAAGACTGTCACCGGGCCACAATGTTGTGGTGGACTTGGGATTAAAGATTTAAGGGTTTTTAACAAGGCGTTCTTGTAAAGTGGTTATTGAGAGTTGGAGTATGAGATAATGCCTTTTGGAAGGGAGTGATTGCAGAGTAGAATGGGGTTTTGGAACGAATGTGGAAGATTAAAAATGTCACATGTTGCTTCGAGTGCAAGCTATGGAGGGATGTCCTAAAGTGATGAGAAAAGTTTAATGGGAACATATCATTCAGGATGGGTAACGAGAGCAGGGTTATTTTTTGGGCGCATAGGTGTGCGGGAACAATATTTTGAGAATCACATCTCAAAAGATGTATAGATTTCATGTCAATAGGAGATGACAGTCCAACCGATACAACGTCTAGTCGTCTACAATGGGAGAAGTGCATTGAGATTTAATGTTTAAGGGGAACATACAAGATTGGGAGGTTACAAAATTTCAAAGTTTGGTTGAATTGCTTGACAAATAAAAAATTACACATTTTAGCCATGTATGGAGATGTAGGACAGTAGATAATGGTGTCTTTTCTATTAAGTCCTATTATGAGAAGCTTCTTATTAGGGAGAAGTCAGCTTTCCACATATCTCAATATGGATATGTGTGTATTTTCTTGGCCTTTTTCGAGGGGGGTGTTCTTGACTGCAAATAATTTGAGAAAGAGGAAGATGACTTGTGTGGTGCTTCATGGGTAAAAACTTAGGAATGTGATTTACCATCCTTTTAGATTGTCGTATGCTGACTAGTTTGCGGTGGGAGATTTTTAGGTTGTTTGGAATTCTAAAGTGATGCCAGGCGCTATTAAAAAAATAATGTTTAGCTGAACCTTTTTAAGACGGAAGAGAAGAATGAGGGCATGGGATGTTTTCCGTCTAGCTCTCATGTGGATCGTATGGAGGAGAGGAGGCTTTTGATGGAGTAGAATGATAATGTACACTTGAGGAATAGCCTCTTATCCCTTATTTCTTTTTAGTGCACCGACGAGGTTCCTATATGTATTGAAGATTGGGTGTCATTAGTAGAATACCACATCTTTTTTTGTAAGATTTTCTACTTTTTGATATACTTCTTTTATACGGGCGTGTTTTATCCTTTTTTTTAATGAAATTTTATTACTTTACCAATAAAGAGTTATGGAAAATTTAAAAGTACCAGACCTATAAGAATTTAGTACTATAATAATCAATTTGCAATTAAAATAAGTAATTTTGGGATTCAATTTGTGATAGTGGTGATATTAATCCAACTCCTCAAAGTTGAGATTCAAAGAATCGACAGCTTCTCGTTGGGATCAATTTGCACGTTACTGTTTGAAGCGCTCACTTCTCCGAAGCGCATAGCGTCATGCGTGAAGCAATGACCCCTCGGTACATCGGTTAAGCGATGAAACAATGGCTTTTAATAACACTGCATGTGACTGACAATTCGTTTCTTATGATTTAGTTTCTTGCTTCTTGGATGTTTGCATCTTGGACTGGATTATGCTTTGGTGCTGATAACTTCGTTTCTCAGATTTGCCCTTGACATTGATCTGGATGCTCCAAAAGTTAGAGTTCCTGTTAGACCACGTGGCTCCTCCCAATGTGATAGCCATCTTCTTTTGGATTTGGGTCATTTTACTTTACATACCAAGGTATGTCAATGTTCAAGAAGGTAAGTTGTTTTTATACTTCACCTAACCTATTAACATGCGTGTCTTGGATATAGGGTGATGGCCTACTAGGTGATCAGAACCAAAGTTTGTATTCTCGTTTTTATATCTCCGGAAGGGACATAGCAGCTTCTTTTACAGATTGCGGTTCTGATGATCAGGCTTGCAGTTTGTCATGTCAGCCTTCGGCATATCATAACCCGGAAGATGCCAAGAACTTATGCTCTCTTGTTGATAAGTGTGGAATGGCTGTTATTGTGGATCAGGTACAAAGTAGTAAAGTAGTTTTTTTTGTTTTAATATCATGATCTCTAGTGTTTAATTAGAAGTTGGGTTCTGATGTTCTTGTGCTTGCTTAATTTGTTACTGTTTATCTTTTTTTTTTTTTTTTTTTTTGGTTGAAGATTAAGGTGCCTCATCCCGGCCATCCGTCAATGCGTGTTTCTGTTCAAGTTCCCAATTTTGGCCTTCACTTTTCGCCAGTGAGATATCGCAGGCTGATGGAGTTGTTAGACATACTATACCGAGCAATGCCAGATACTGAGCAGCCTGCTATTGAAAATCTCCCACCAGAATATGCCCCTTGGTATCCTCCTGATCTTGCAATTGAGGCTCGGATCCTTGTTTGGAGGGTATGTAGGTGTTGTGTGAATTGCAGCCACTATATGAATCAACAATGGCTTAATATTGTTAACTTTACTTTGTTTTCTTGATTTAGGGGATTGGCTACTCAGTTGCTTCATGGCAACCATGTTATCTTGTGTTATCTGGTTTATATCTTTATGCATTGGACTCTGAGCTGTCCCACAGTTATCTTAGATGCTCAAGGTGCGTATATAAGATTTTTCATATTTGTCTTCATACTTTTATCCACTGCTTTGTTTCTTTCACCTCCTTGATATGGAAGTTGTCTTGAACCTGTTTTTGATGTGGTGAACCCTATAGCATGGCTGGTAAGCAAGTACTTGAAATTCCTCCTGCAAATATCGGAGGTACCTTTTCCTGTATCGGCATCAGCGCCAGAGGAATGGATATGCAGAAGGTATGCAAGTCTCCTCATTGAAATCCTGTCCCCACGCATAGATGACCATGCATACACTTGTTAAAATGCATGAGTTTGCACATACTTGTGAAAATGCAGTATAGGAGGAAGAAAGGTTAGAAGGTGGGGAAATCAAGAATCAAGAGAAAATGTGGAGACGAAAGGTGCGTAGACACTATTTGATAAAGGCCTAAAATAAATAGAGTAAGACAACGCGTAACCTATTGCCCGATGGAAGTTCTCAGAGAAAGGAACATCTTACTATTAAACAATCAAGTAATTCTAAAGAGAGATCTTTTGCGAGGAAAACCATCTTTGAAGAAAATCCTATAATTCAATGGAAATTGGTTTACGGAATTTGGAAGTCCGAGAAAATTGTTTGGGCAATGGTTGTGTTGTTTCGAGACCCCTCTAGTCTCTACATCAAGAAAAAAGGAGTTATGCGTTAAGAAATGAAGGGAGCACGAGTTTATACATGTTCATAGAAGAAAAGAATCATCGCACCAGAATCGTGGCTCTTCAATCTCCAAGAAAATGACGAATGAGGGAAATGGTAAACAAATCAATAAGACAAAGAAAAGGATTTATCAGCACGGGCCTAGATCAGTACAAATACTAGAAGAGAAGGGCCGTATTAGGTGCAAAGAGCAAATGAGCAATGCGGCCATGATGGTCACTTATCCCCAAGAAGAAATTCAAGATTAGCTACTTGGATTTCTCAGAGGATATTGTTACATATTTCATATCTATCTTGTAACTGGTTAATGATCTTTTCATATGTAGGGCTTTTTATACATGGTTAGGTTTAGGAAATTCATACGCGTAGGTCTTTTGCATAGGCTCAAAATGTAGAGGAGTGGGCTTGTATTTAGGAGGTACGGCAAATACCGCGTTCCTTCTTTGTAACTCATTGCTTTAATTTCTTTCAATGAACAAGCAGGGTCAGGGCTTAACGCACAAGCTTTTCAGGTCGATTATGATTAAAAAATTACCTACTTTGGGGTTTGGATACACTTTGTTAGGGAAAAAGTTGAAAACATGATGGTTTTCTTTTTGTTGGGAGAACCTGGGAGATCATACATACATATATTGTTAGTTTGAGAACTGTATAAATGGTCCCCTGGAACTTTTAAAGTATTAATACTTTCCTTAAAGTGAAAGCAGATATGATGTTGGGATTGCCATAAACGAGAGCTGAAGTATCTTATATCATGGATATCAAGGGTTCTTTCCAATAAGATATTTCCATGATCGCAACCAAGCCTTGGTAGTTTAGCTATTGGCTTACCTAGTGGATGTGGCTACATTAGTCCTTGAACCCTGATTATTCCTGCATGTACAGGATGAGTAGCATGGCTCTTTCTCATCTATTCTAATTATTGCAAATTTTGTGGTACCACAACCAATGTGTTTCTTTTTTTCTCTCTGCTATGTATTTTACTCTCCTCATTACGTCATGAGTCCATGTGCTTTTTTGTTCTTCCATGTGTTTTACTTTTCTTCATTAGGTTCTGGAGTCCTCTAGCACAATGATAATAGAGTTCCGTGATGAGGAGACGAAGGCTACTTGGCTGAGAGAACTTACAAAAGCCACTTATCGAGCTTCTGTATGATATACATATAGTGTCTATTGCTTTTCTCTTTCTTCTTTGTCTAACTTCCTGTAACCACCTCAAACTCAGTACCTTTTTACATGTCTTTGGGTTTAGGCTCCTCCTCCTATGAACATACTTGGAGAACTAAGTGATGGTGTAGCGGAAATTGCTGAACCTCGAGCTGTAAATGCGAGGACTGCTGAGCTTGTTGTTAATGGAACACTGATTGAGATGAAATTGTCATTATATGTAAAGGTTGGTTGTCGGGATTATCGGCCCTGCTAATCTTTGTTTTGTCCAGATTTCGTGGAAGTATTTTGCTTTACTTGGTTCTTTTTCCTTGTGATGATTTTAGTAGGTTTACAAAGACTTATGTTTCTTCCATTTTGTTTCCCATCAAATTTGCAGGCCGTAGATGATCTGGCAGAGAGACTTGACGAGACACTACTCCTTGATGTTCTTGCTGCTGGTGGAAAGGTTTTTCTTACTTCCTATACATTAGTACAATTTCTAGTTGGTTATCTTTATTATGTTGTATGTATTTAGATTCTGTGTAGGATTTGATCAAGTAAATTATCTGCCATGGATGGCAGTGCTCAGGACCTATCAAAAGAAAAATATGCATCAATAGGAGAAATAAAGTTGGGCAAATACTAATTGGTCGCTAGCCGGCAAGTGTATAAACTATGTATAATTTTTGCATATAATGCACATATATAAAAAATATACATTTTGTTGGATATTATTTTTGGGAGCGGCTAAAAATATATATTTCTTAATAAAGTTTGGGTTTTTTTTTTGGGTNATAGATTTTGCTTCCTTTTACTTAATTCACGAAGGACTTTGCCTTTCCCTACGTCAATGTATGCGAAAACTCATTTTGTGATTAAATCTTCAAGTGGTCAAGCAAGATGACCTATGACGTGTTATGAAGTTCCTTTCTCGTAAGTAAAATACTGCTCATGTAGTATTGTTTCTGGAGGAAAAAATTAGAAAGTAAATTGAAAGGTTTGCAAAATGCTGAGGTGTTTTAGCCCGTTTTTTTTTTAGATATTTGAAGAGAAATTGAAGCTCAATTTTGTACTTGTTTTGACAAGTTAAGGGGTCAAGAAGATACATGTTTTCTTCCGAAGTGCTTGACCGATTTATAGCCCTAGCTACACAAGTATCTATACTATTAAAATGGTGACTGCCCTGTCAAATTTTTTATCTCTTAACTACCCAAACTCATTTAGTCTTGCACACTTTATAAAATTGTTTCCAAGTTTTTACTAGCTTGCCTAGCAATCAAGTTCAAAACAATCTTTCTGCTAAACTTCATTTTTTACTTTTCAGCCATTTTCACCTATTCTTATATTTAATCTGTCTTGAATTCTTTTTTTTCAACATAAATTATTAACAATTTACATTGAATGTGAACGATCTAAACTTTTTCCAAAACATGTGCTGACATGGAGTGTGTAATAATTTCCAAGAAGAAAGAAAAGAGAGAGTTTTTTGGAATGTTCAGCTTGATTAGCTTGATGATTCCCTTAAGCTTGGATATTTAAGTTCCTTTTACAAATATTCTGAATTGGAAAATCACACACAATAAGTTTTTTCCAACTATTTCATAATAATATCTTCGAAGTTTAAGGCATAATTATAGTGTTGATACCATATTATTAAAATCTTAACATCTAGTATACTTATCAATCATACAAAGGGGTGGAACTAAGCTATTTATACTGGGGGTGGTGGTGGAGACCCCATTATACACGTGGACTGTAAGAGCAATTAACCACGCAACAAAAAGAATAGTGTGTTTTTATTCTGAAAGGTTGTGCTTTATTTGCACATCTTTGAATAGTTGGGGAAGTGGGAAAAGAGGCTTGGGTTGTAGTACTGCCTTGAGTAGTTTAAACACAGACTCAGTTGTCTAGCATCACACATATTATTCTCCCTAATCCCATAGATTATGAGATATGACTTCTTAATCCCTCTGACTATGAGATAGCACCAATTAAGCAGTTAACTGATGCGCACTACTACAACAACAACATTAACGACAACATACCCCGTGTGATCCCACAAGTGGAGTCTAGGGAGGGTGTGGTGTACGTAGACCTTACCCTTACCTTGTGTGAGGTGGAGATGCTGTTTCCGATAGACCCTCGGCTCAAGAAAAGTGTTTTCAAAATAGGTTTAAAAAATAGAGTAAAATACTATTGTGAGAAGGCACGGGAGAAAATATGTTATTGATATATTGAATGAATGAATAATACTACA